GGGGGGGGGGGGGGGGTGGCCAGGGAGCACCTGGGGGCCAAGGGGGGTCTCCCACTTTGGGCTATGTGGCCGGCACCTTTCTCTAACCTCTTGGCTGCCTGCTTCCTACAGAAGTGTCTAGAGAGGGCAGCCCGTCCTGGTGGCGCAGGGGCCTGGGGGAGGGGTTGGGGGGGGGGAGGTGGTGGCCTGAAGTTGCAGCTCCAGAATGACAGCCTCTGGCGACTGCTGCTGCCCAGTGACGCCCGCCCCACCGGCAGGAAGAAATGAGTCACTCCGCCTGCTCTATGGTCACTGCCCTTCTGGGGACCTCAGCCAGCTCTGGAGCCGGAGGGGGAGGGGGACGCAGGCTTCTCGCTCAGGACCGCCTGGGCTCCTGTTCCTCTCCTTTGCACGCCATCAGAAGCCTGTAGAACCTGACTTGCTTCAGAAGGGCCCCATCCCACACACGGTCCCCCCTCACAACCCCCCTCGCCTGCCCCCTGTCTGTGAACATAAATAGGCCAGAGGAAGGAACGGGTTTTGGGGTGAGTGCCAAATGCACGGCTCGGGGACATCTCCCAGCCCCTCACACCCCGTGAACCCAGGCCGGGGTCTGGCCGCATGAGGCGTTCATGTGCCACTAACTGTGGGGGCCGGTGGGAGCCGGGACCTTTCCAGCTGCCGGCATAGAAAGATGCCCCGGAGTGCCCGGATGGCCGACTCGAGAGCCGTGTGGATGGCGTTGCTCTCAGAGTGAACAGGCTCCACACACCTGGTGGGAAGGTGGGCTCCGGGCTGGGGGCGTGTGGGGTACCCGCTAACACGGCGATTGTCCCCCGTGTGCCCGTAACAAAGATCGCAACCTGACTCCAGTCAGGGGCACTGACCTTGTTCCCCTTAGATTGTCAAATCAAGAATAATGACAACAGCCAACACAACTATAGCCATCCAGTGTGACTGGATCAAAATTATAGCTTATTTGTCAGATCGGCCAAAAATGTATATGTTTTGGTGTAGCGCAGAATTTTAGTAATTGGTTATGTGTGTCATGAGACATCGCTGCTCCAGAGAAAAGAGACGGGCCTCGGGCAGTGTGTGCGGGACCCCAGTAAATAGCCAGGAATAAGGACGCACAGGGCGCCCTCGGGAGGGGTCAGAAGACCAGAGGGGTCGTGGGCTGTGCTGTCCAGTGCGGTAGCCGCAGCCGCGGCCACAGGTGGCTCGCGAAATGTGGTGCCTGAATTAAGAGTAAACACACACGGGATTCTGGAAACTTAGTATTCAAAACTTAGTTTATAATTTCATTAGTAAGTTTAATATCAGTTATATATGTGAGCAATGTGTGGATATATTATAGTATTAAATTATTTTCCTTTGTTTTTTAAAGATATATATTTATTGATTTCAGAGAGGAAGGGAGAGGGAGAGAGAGATAGAAACATCAATGATGAGAGAGAATCATTGATTGGCTGCCTCCTGCAAGTCCCCCCACTGGGGACCGAGCCCACAACCCCCCAACCCCAGCATGTGCACTTGACCGGAATCGAACCTGGGCCCCTTCAGTCCATATCCACTGAGCCAAACCGGCTAGGGTACCTTTTTCTTTTTTAAATGTGGCCCAATGGACATTTGAGGTGACACGAACCATAATGGGCCGCTGCTCTAAAGACAGCCTCCAGGTCGTCCTTTGAGAGCGGCCGGGATCTGGGGAGGAGCAGGGGTTCGGGGGGAGGGGGCTCGTTTGAGGTGTCCTCTCCCGGCTGTGACTCATCCTTCTCCCACACAGACCACGGTTACCTTGCAAACCTACATGTAAAGCCATCTTTTCCGGTTTTGCTTATTGAAATAGTGACAAGGACGCCTTTCTTCAAAAAGGACTCACGTGTAGCTGGTTATAAAGTCTTGGGGAGGACCCCCTAAAACACTGCTGTCGGCTGGGTGCCGTCTGCATGTTTGGACAGTCCGACACCTGGCGTGTGGCCGGAGGCAGAGCCACCTGGGTCGGAAGACCGTCCTGTAACTCCCGCCCTGACGGCCCTCGGCCCACAGAGGGGGGTCAGGCGGTCGCCTCTTAGGGCTCCCGTCCTCTGGCCCGAGCCAGCACGCCGTGCCTGGAGATCCCCGTTTGTCTGAGCTCCCCCTGCCCCCACGGCCCGGAGCTGGGTGCTGGGCACACGCCACCCCTGCCCCTCCATTAACCCGCTCTCCTGGCGCCGCGGGCTCTCCCCTCCTGTGTGGTTGAGAGTCCCCTCGGAGGGCTCCTCGGGTCTGCGTGCCTGCCGGTCACCTCCTGTGTCTTGTTTTCTAGAACTCTCCAAGTCCCAGAACGACATGACCTCGGACAAGCAGCTCCTCAGCACGGGCCCCAGGCCGGGCGCCAGGACGGAGCGGCGCAGCCAGAGTGACACTGCCATCAACGCCACCACCAGGGTACTCCCTTCCTCCAGGGACCCTTTTTCTCTTATAACAAAGCACTGAGCAGTCTGTAGACATAAGCATAGGCGCCTCTGAGGGG